TTCGTATACCTAGTAATCCAAAATCATAACATATTGAGATGTAAATTAAAATCAAACATCTTGCAATGAAACAAGTAAGAACTCAACTTATATTAGTGAGAGATTGTCGTCATAACATCGATTAGATTTTACTCTGTTTTTGTACATTCATATAAACATATACTCTGTAATTTATTACTTTGTTCTTTATATCCATAACATAAAGGTAACATTGTATAAACTTGTTACTAATGGAACATCCATGTAAAATTGTAGTTTAGTCTATGTATATATCTTATAGCTTTTGTTTTCCCACGCAGAGAATATATAATTCAAAGACGGTTTGAAGTGTGGTGTTGAAATCTGACAAATGCCAACAAGAGTTTGGTGTTCAAGGTAGAGAAAATCTATGGATCCAGTTTGTCCAAAAAAAAAGGTAGAGAAAATATACATAGAATCGTGATGATGATTCCAATCTTTCTCACATTTTTGGGTATCTATGACTAAATCCAAACTAAATAGAAAATAGTTGAAAGTTGATTTCAAAGATCTACCAACGAAAAAAGTAATAATAATAAAAAATTAGTACTGAGGATTAGATTTCTTTTCACACTATCTCTATATTTATTATTATAACAATTGAGGGATGAGTAAACTGTTCACTTAAAAGAGTGTTAAAGTGTAGTGCTCAAGTCTAACAAAAAATACATAAAATTGAGATGATTCCAATCTTATGGAGTCGACAATCCATATGGAGTCGATTGTTATGTGGACAATCTCTTCTGTTATGTCAGGTCGCTCGGCTTCTTTATACAAAGGATGGCAACGGCGTTTTGGCTCTTGGATCAAATGGTGTCCAAAGACTATGGAGGTGGAGCATCAATGAGCAAAAACCAACTAGCAACGTGATGTGTTAACCCTTTCAAGTTTTACACCTAATATGCGAGTGCTCAAGTCACTTCTTTAGCTCTTTTGCATAAGTGGCTGAGATTGTGCTCTTTTAATTTTGAAGGTAACCGCTAGGGAAGCTCCACGCCAGCACTAGCAGTCTAAAGATAATCCATATGCTCACTACCTTCTCGCATAACAGTAGGTACAGAGCCAGCAGCAGGCACTGTAGCTCGAGAGCCAACACTAGTTCGAGTAGTTCGAGAGCCAACAGAGCAAAGGCAATAGAGGTAGCAAACCCAGAAGATCCAACAGTTACAGCTGTTCCACAGGCTCCACCACCAGCCAATCGCTTACAAGGTCCAAGGCTTCATTGGTCACCGGATTTGGTGGCGTTATTTGATAACGCGGTTGAAACATTGGGAGCAGGACATGTGTCCGCCCAAGCAATTTATGGTGTCATGAATCGAGCGGATGTCTCCATTGAACAAGTTGTGTCGCGATTGAAGACCGTGAGGAAAATTACCAAAAGAGGAGGTTGAGGTTCATTAATATATTTCTCTATGTATTTTCGTTTTCTTATGCTTTATTAAAGGATAAGGATAATTAGAAGATGAGTTCATTAATCTATTTCTCTATGTATTTTCGTTTTCTTATGTTTTATTAAAGGATAAGTGGATAATTAGAAGATGAGTTCATTAATCTATTTCTCTATGTATTTTCGTTTTCTTATGCTTTATTAAAGGATAAGTGGATAATTAGAAGATGAGTTCATTAATCTATTTCTCTATGTATTTTCGTTTTCTTATGCTTAATTAAAAGCTAAGTTGATGTGCCTGTTACATTTTCGTTTTCTTAATGCTTAGCTCAAAGATAAGTTGATGTGCCAATTTTGCTGTTACATTAGTGTGAACCACATTATACACAATTACACATCTCCATACAATAAATGAGAATAATAGATCAAATGATCAATCAAAATTTGCATTACTTGCAAGATAATAAATGTATCTACACGGAGTTTGTTGCAGAATCTCATAGCTCAAAACAAATAATACAATAGTTCGTTATAGAAATGGTCCTACTTGGGGTTTTAGTAAAGAATGTTACTTGTTCTTCGTCGTCTTCTCTTTTGAAAGTCGCAAGATCGATCCTAACCCAAACGGAGATGGACCACCGATCACTGGAGTAATCCGAAAGCTTCCTCCTCCATTCTTTCCGGCAGCCTGCTTTTGTGGCCGGAACTGATACGAGCTGCAACAAACAGAGGAAGAAGACAAACGAGATGATGGATTTGCTCCTGGTCGTGGAGCTCCATGTCTCTGCGAACTATGCTTGTTAATGTCCCTTAGCATTGACCTCTTCGAATTCATCACTGATCCTGTGGAATTGCTTCTTGTCAAACGAGGAAACGAACAGATAAGATTCTTCTTTATATCGCAGTTAAGGCTCGAGCTTCTCTTGAAGCTCCAAAACGACTTTGATGATTTCTCTACTTCCGAGTCTGAATTTGCTCCGCTCCCACGACCGTTTCTGCTTCCTGGAGTTTCCTTCTCGCTGTATTTTCTCGAGTGTTGAGGCAATGGCAATGGCGGAGGAGGAAGAATAGGGGAAGAGGACAGTAAGGAAGGAGCAGAGACGATAGGAGGGAGCTCGTACTTGTAGAGACGTTTTGGTGTGGCGGATGGAGTGGTTACTTGAAAAGGAAGGACCGGGAGGATCATCCCGTCTGCAAAAATCTTGTCGGCTGGTGAGGAATCTTCGGGATCAAAGTTTCTTGAAATGTGGAACTCGAAATCTGAGTTTGATGAATCTAAAAGAGTTGTGTCTCTTCGAACCTGGCCTGATGGTTGTTGTTCGATAGGAGGTTCTTTATCTGATTGCCCGAGATCACCCGCGAACGAAATCCGCTGGTGATTTGATTCCACGCAGATCATGATGGTCCGGTTTTCTGGAAATTTCAAAACAAACAGTCAAGATAGTAAACCAACGAGAAACAGAGAAATGCAAGGTCAATGGAAACTAACCTTGTTTGGAGGAAAGATGAAACTCTGCCCGGAGACTTTATTTCTGCAGGACTGTGCAAAAGAAAGAAAAAGCATCAAACGATCAAAATCAAGACCCGTATATTGCGAAAAGCTAGATAAATCGTGAATGCGGGAGATGTAAAGGAAATGATGTTTCCATGAGAAGATGATGAAGGAAAGGTTTAGGGGATCACGATGTTTGGAAACATTTGAGATTAAACTCACAAGTCTATGGATTAGAGTTTGAAAACTTCAATTAAAATAATGGATGTGGTGTGCCACTACTGCAGGAAACAATGGCTGAGAC